TTTTCAGAGTATGCATTTTCAAAGGATGCTGAATCAGCAGCAGCATAGCTGAGACTTGAACCAGGCACTCTGTTAAGGGATGTGAGTATCCTAAATGGAGAATTAACCTCTGTGCCCAACCCCCCCTAAGATCACATTTTTAAAATGAAGTTTAGTGCTAAAAATGTCTGAAAATCACTTTCTGATCTCAAAATTCATCTGCAGTGTGAAGAATGTTAAAATATGTTTGTGCAAGTCCTATGGTTCTGAACCTGAATTAAGATCAAATAGGTACCTAAGATCTTCTTTCCTTTCCTTTTGGTTCCTTTTCTTTTTTCCCTCCAAACAATATGCAAAAACCAAATCTACATTACACAGCAGATATACAAGTCTATTATCAACAAATGAGAACACATTAAACAGTTTTTAATTGGTCTTAAGAAAAGCAAAGGTGAGATGAAAGTTTAATTCTCTTGGACGGTTGTTCACAATGTATTTTTCCATCTCTGCTGTAAGGAATGCATTTTAATTAGCTGATTCTCACCATTTGGCCATGTATTTGTAATTTGCATTCACACTTTGGGAAAGAAAAATTTGATGAAAGGAATTGGACAGTAATGGAAATCTTGTCTGAGCAGAACAAATTGGGATTATCAAGTATATTGCAGGATGACAGACAGGCTGCAGCCGGGGAGATGGGAAACAGAGCTTCCAGAAACCTTCCTCTGTCCCAAACTCCCTTGTTCCACCTTGCACATTTTGTCCTGCACAGGGATACAGCACCACCAGGTGGAAAGTGCTTTGGGGCCAGATGAACATGAGTTTGAATCTTCTAGTTTTCTGGCCAGTCACTTAATCCCCCTATCTTTACTTTCCTCATCTGTCAAGCAGCAGTAATAGTATCCACCGTATAGCATTGTGAGAATTGAAAAGAAAAGGAATATGTGAAAGTGCCTAAAGCATAATCAGGACTCAGGGAATGACTGAAAGAATTGCAAAGGGGTGAGGGGCCCTTGGGAACTCCCAGGCTTATGTACAGCGTTGAGAGGAAGAAGTGGGCAGCTGCAGGGTGCATGATCACAGTGTGTGCATGTGTGTGTTGGAGGCTGCAGAGTCTCTGGGTCTATCTGGGACCTAGGACAGCAAACAACCAGACGTATCTGCATGGGAGTCCACCTGGGGTTAGGAAAGCCCCTGGAGAGTCCATGCTTACCCTCACGATGTTTTTCCATGAGCTTAGTGAGACAGGTGTAAAGTCAGCTAGATCCTTCAACTAAGCACAGTGCACCAGTAAGGAAATGGGTTAGGAGGTTCTCTGCCAGCAGTTACATCAAACAGCATACAAGGGAAGAGGAGAGGCCTCCAGCCCAAGTGACTATTTAGGGTACTATTGGAGAGCTGTTAGAGAGGGAGAAGGGATAGTCCTTTGCTTTGGAGCTACCATTTTTTTTAAAGATTTAGTTAGTGGCTGGCTCTACGACATAGTACGTTAAGCCTCTGCCTGCGGAGCCAGCATCCCACATGGGTGCCGGTTCGTGCTCTGGCTGCTCCTCTTCTGATCCAGCTCTTTGCTAATGGCCTGGGAAAGCAGTAGAAGATGGCCCAAATACTTGGGCCCCTGTACCCCTGTGGGAGACCTGGAAGGAGCTCCTGGCTCCTGGTTTTGGATCAGCCCAGCTCCTGCAGTTGCAGCCATTTGAGGAATGAACCAGCAGATGGAAGACCTCTCTCTGTGTTTGTAACTCTGCCTCTCAAATAAATGAATACATCTTTAAAAAATTATTTATTGGGGCCATCCCTGTGGCATAGCAGGTAAAGCTGCCACCTTCAGCACTTGCATCCCATATGGGCACTGGTTCAAGTCCCAGCTGTTCCACTTCTGTCCTAATTCCCTGCTAATTAACCTGGGAAAGCAGCAGAAGATGGCCCAAGCACTTGGGTATCTGTACCCACATAGGAGATCCAGATGAAGCTCCTGGCTCCTGGCTTCTGCCTGGCTCAGCCCTGGCTGTTGCAGCCATTTGGGGGAGTGAACCAGCAGATGGAAGATTGATATCTCTTTCTGTCTCTCTCTCTCTCTGCCTCTGACTCTCCTTCTCTGTAACTCTGCCTCTTATATAATTAAAAAATATTTTATATAAAAAACAATTCCCAGATGCATTAGCAGGGAGCTGGATCAGAACTGGACAGTTGGGACTTGCACCGGGGCTCATATGGGTTGCCAGCATTGGTGGTGGTGGCTTAACCAGCTGGACTACAATACTGGACCCCAGAGCTGAAATTCAACAGAGAGAAAAGGTGGAGAGAGAAAGCACCATAGCCACAGATGAGGCTGAGTGTGAAGACCCTGTGGCTGTACAGCTTTATTTTCCCCAAGATAATGCTAAAGTCAAATAATCCCTGAGACCATCAGACCATTGGCCCAGGATCTGGTTCAGAAAGTGCAGTCTCCGCTGCTGGCATTGTGTGTAGCAGGTTAAGCTGTTGCTTGCCATGCCTGCACCTACTGTGCCCCTCAGATTTCCTCTTCTTAGGTTGTTGACACAGAGAGTGAGACAAATCTGGGTTAACTTTTTATTTAAAGATTTATTTTTATTTATTTGAAAGACAGAGTTATAGAGAGGGGGAGAGAGTGAGAGAGAGAGAGAGAGAGAGAGAGGTCTTCCATCTGCTGGTTCACTCCCCAAATGATGACAGCAATCAGAGCTGAACTGATCCAAAGCCAGGAGCCAGGAGCTTCTTCCAGGTCTCCCAAGTGAGTGCAGGGGCCCAAGCACTTGGACCATCTTCTACTGCTTTCCCAGGCCATAGAAGAGAGCCGGATCGGAAGATAAGCAGTCGGGACTTGAACAGCACCCATATAGGATGCTGGCACTGCAGGTTGGGGCTTTCACCTACTGTGCCACAGCACACTGTGCCACAGCACTGACCCCTTAGTTAACTTTGAAGTCCCTGTCTTAGAATTTCATATACTTAAGATATACACCTGATGTACATAACAAAGTGATTACTACAGTTATGCAAATTCACTTACCTGTCACCTTCCAGAGTGACCTCTTTTGTGAGTGTGGTGCACATGCCTCTCTCCACACCTTTTCAACACACATTACAATACTGTTAACTACAGTCCTCAAGCTGAGGGTTAGAGCTCTAGACTCATCTTAGCCAAGTGCAACTTTGCACCCTTTGACTGACATCTGCCTGTTTCCTTTTCCTCCCTGCCCCTGGGTTTCACCCGTGTTCTACTCTTTGTACCTAAGATTGTTAAAGAATCCATGTATAAGTGAAGTCTTGCTCTTATTCACATTTTTATGGCCTTAGGGGAAGCACCTGTCCTCTGCACGTGCCAGCTAGTGGATCTTTAAAATTAGCACATAATTTAAGGATGTTTGCAGTACCCAGCCCTTCAGATGTGTAAAGTGGATCTTTTTCTTCCTTTATTTCTTTAAGATTTATTTTATTTATTTGAAAGACAGTTACAGAGAGAGGTAGAGACAGAGAGAGGTCTTCCATTCAATGGTTCACTCCCCAGATGCCCCCAACGGCCAGAGCTGCATTGATCCAAAGCTAGGAGCCAGGAGCTCCTTCCGGGTCTCCCATGTGTGTGCAGGGGCCTACGGACTTGGACCATCTTCTACTGCTTTCCCAGGCCATAGCAGAGAGCTGAATCAGAAGAGGAGCAGCTGGGACTAGAACCAGCACACATATGGGATGCCGGCGCTTCAGGCCAGGGCTTTAACCCACTGCACCACAGCGCCGGCCTCCTATTCCTTTATTTATTTATTTATTTAAATTTATCTATCTATATTTGAAGAGGGGAGCGGGTGAGAGAGAGATCTTCCATCCTCTGGTTCACTCCCCCACATGGCAGCAACAGCCAGGGCTGGTCCAGTCGGAAGACAGAAGCCCAGAGCTCCATCCGGGTTTCTCACATGGGTGCAGGGTCCTAAGCACTTGGCTCATCTTCTGTTTTCCCAGGTGCATTAGCAGGGAGCTGTATGGGAAGTGGAGAAGCCAGGAGAACCAGTGCTCTGATATGGGACGCAGGTGTTACAGGCCACAGCTTGGGCCCCAAAGCAGCGATTCTTGATTACCTGAAGTAAAGACCGTGACCCTGTGACCCCCACATTTGGCGATGTCTGGAGCCCTTTAGTCCAGCCATGCATAGGACAGCCTCCCTACCCCATGCTGTTGAAAGCAGAAGGTCAAAACGGACCCATCAGAGACTATTCTCTCATCACAAGGAGAAATGTCGTGGTCCCTAAAGCCCTGTTGGACGCAGTGGCCCTGTGCGGAGGGCCTTCAGCCTCTTCCGGTTTGCTGTCCGCGGTGTTCTGGGCGCAGCTCCCTCCTGAGTTCGCCCTTCTCCAGCCCGGGCACCCCGGCCACCTGTACCGCCCTGCTGCATGTACAAGTTCCCAATTAAGGGCTTTCTGCCGCTGCGGAGAGAGCGGCCTGCGCCCGCCGTGGAATGAAACTGAAACGCGGGACTCCGTGTTCCTCGGGTCCCTCAGCGCAAAGGCGAGGCAGGGCCCGGCGTGGAGTACCGGGAGGCTCTGGGGAAAGGTAGGGCAGTTATGGGATTCTAGGAGCCTGCTTTGGGGCCAACTTCCGGAAACAGAGGCAACCGGCAGCGCACTCTCAGACCCTCCGCTGCCAACGCCCCGAGTGCCCTCGAGGGCGGGACACCCAGGGGGCGGGCACCTGCTGGCTTCCAGGGAGAACGGCCCAACTTGGGCCATCTCCAAGCCTGGTAACGCGCTCCAGCTGTCCCCGGCTCCGCCTCAGTGGGATGCTCGTCCCGGCCGACTGAAAGGAGTGGCTCGGCGGAAGCCGCCTGGGTGACGGGGGAAGGTGGGGCCACCCGTCTCCCGGGGACAATGCCTGTGTGTTGAGTCAAACCCGTCGCGGGGCTGGGTCTGCAGCGCGGCCGCTGGGCGCAATCTGCTGTGGTTAATAATTGATCACTGACCATCCCGCCTCCAGTAGTCCGGAGAGTGAGCTCCTGGAGGGAGGACTGGGGCCGGCAAGCGCCGGGCAGCTGGAAAGCCGAGCCGACGGTAGTAAGCGCAGTGCGCGCCGGGGGCGAACTGGAGACTGCGGAGCGCTCCAGGGGCTGCGGGTTTTACTGCCAGTGGGGCAGGGAGGTTACAGCCTCTTTCCTCCGCCCCTTTCCCCGCCTCGCCCACACAAGTACATCCCAAAACCCCACCCCCAGGCGCCTCGGGCCTCTCCTAGATTGGGCTGCTCCAGGAAGTTTCCATGAAAGCACCTGATATACCACTTAGCGGGGCCGAGAGAACTCAAGCGACAGAAAGCCCTGGCCCACTCTGGTGAGTTGCAGCCAACAACTCGGGGCTGTGCTGGGAGGAGAAAGGGAAGTTGGGAAGTCGGGAGCCCGTGGTGCCCGGCGCCCTTCTCATGGCTTCACCCAGCCTCTCCAGCAGCGACTGCTCCTATGTGATCGATCACAGCCATGTGCCCAACTTTGAGGTGGCCACTTGGATCAAAATCACCCTCTTCCTGGTGTACCTGATCATCTTCGTGGTGGGCATCCTGGGCAACAGCATCACTATTCGGGTCACCCAGGTGCTACAGAAGAAGGGCTACCTGCAGAAGGAGGTGACGGACCACATGGTGAGTCTGGCCTGCTCTGACATCTTAGTCTTCCTCATTGGCATGCCCATGGAGTTCTACAGCATCATCTGGAACCCTCTGACCACACCCAGCTACTCCCTGACTTGTAAGCTTCACACTTTCCTCTTCGAGGCGTGCAGCTATGCCACGGTGCTGCACGTGCTGACACTCAGCTTCGAGCGCTACGTGGCTATCTGTCACCCCTTCAGGTACAAGGCCCTGTCAGGGCCCTGCCAGGTGAAACTGCTGATTGCCTTTGTCTGGATCACGTCCGCGCTGGTGGCGCTGCCCTTGCTTTTTGCCATGGGCGTGGAGTACCCCCTGCTGCATGTGCCGAATCTCCAGGGTCTCGCTTGCAACCGCTCCCGCACCCGGCACCACGAGCAGCCCGAGACCTCCAACATGTCCATCTGTACCAACCTCTCCAGCCGCTGGACTGTGTTCCAGTCCAGCATCTTCAGTGCCTTCATCGTCTATCTTGTGGTCCTGGTGGCCGTGGCCTTCATGTGCTGGAACATGATGCAGGTGCTCAAGAAGAGCAAGCAGGGCACGCTGGTGGGGACTGGGCCCCAGCTGCAGCTGAGAAAGACGGAGAGCGAGGAGAGCAGGACCGCCAGGAGGCAGACCATCATCTTCCTGAGTGAGTCAGTGGAGGGCAGCTGGCAGCTGCCTCCCGTGCTCCCCTGCACGGCTGCCTATGGTCATTCTCATGGGAAGGCTTGCCCTGTGTGTGTAATCTTGAGTTAATTGAGGCTGCCAAGGGCATTGGCATTGATCTGGGGCTCTGGATATTTCTTCTCTGTGTTTGGGGGGACGTGCAGTGGATTACGCCGAAAAGAGTGTAGAAGTGGAGTCAGAAGGTAGTGGTATCTTCCACGACACCACCTCTGCGACCTCAGGAGAGTCAGCAAATATCTTGGACAAAATGAGAATAATATGGGGAAATGTGAGGGAGACATTAGGTAATGGAGGAGAGGTGAAAGTCCTTTGCTAAGGACCAAGCTCTGCAGAGATAAGGGGGCTGGCTTATCTAAGCCGGTCTTTACCCATAGAGAGCCTTTCACAGGCAGTTAGCTTTTGTTCCCGTTTTCCTCCTCCTTTGGGTAAGCCCGGCTGCTGGTTTACTCTGGAGTGAATCAGTCTTAACAAACTGGCGCTCCCAAACCTGCTCCCCAGGGCGGTGCTTAGGTTTGGGCAGTGGTGAGCCTGTTCATTTCAGGGCAGAGGGACTGGCAGCACAGGCTGTTTTGTCTGATCCAGAAAACCCAGCCTCACAGATTCCTGGGACTGGATTGATCTCCCTAAATACCCGCTTCCTAGGCAAAGAAAGCTGCTTGTTTTCCAGACTTTTGTTGTGAGACAAGTATTTCCAGTTGGGGCCTCCTCTTCACGTAAAGGAACTATTTCAAGGGAATCCATGGTCTGTGGGCCCCAAAGCCTTTTCGGAAGAAGGGAGACCCGCTCATGCCCTCTGAGAGATGGACCTTTAACAGAGACACATGAAGTCAGTGTGAGCAAAGAGTTTTTAAAAATAGGTTTTAGCAGAAATCAGAAGAAGATGGCATTGTGGGTATGTGACTGTGAGTTGGGGGCGGGGGGGATTGATGGGATGAATGCTTCTCCTTCTCCCCTCTCCCCTCCCCAGTATGGTTGCAGGAGAAGGACTAAATGCCGTGCTGTTTGCACTGGTGTGAGAAACCTGAGTAACAGGTTCCAGGGCCAAGTCAGGCATAAGGGAAGAATTGGAAGTCACCTGGAGAGAGGCGGAGAGAACTGGGGGTTGCCCCTGCGCAGCCGCTGGCCTCCCCAGTCCTGTGTCCCTGCCCAGCTATCTTGACTGTATTCTGTGTCAGTACAAAATTAGAGGAGGGGGCTTGCAGCTTTTGACTGCTGGCTCTGCATTAAGGTTGTGCTAGGCCACTTGTATTTGTAGAGGAGAAACCGGCAAGCTGAAGAAGTCTGCCTTCAAAATCAAGGAAATGCAGCTTCAGGTGTCTTCCTTGCAGCCCAGGGCAGGGAGGCTACAGTGTCTGCCTGTGATTGGCACCGGCACCGGGCGGAGGGAAAATGAAGCAAGGCAGGGCTGTGGCAAGGCAGGGGCTGCCTAGATTAGCCTGTGGGGTTTCTGCCTCCCAGGGAGTAGGGAGTTGTGGCACACGGTGTCATCTGTGGCATTGGGAGGGCACCCAACCCAGCTCCAGCTCTGTCATCCACTGTCTGCTGCCCAAAACACTCCAGGAAGGAATAGCTGCGGCGTTTGCCTGAAGTTTGAACTTTGGTTGAAAGCTGGTCTCCCTCTACATCCCTTAGGCATAGTTTAAATGTTAGCTGCAATTTATACTTTACTGTGAATGAATGAATTTCCTTCATTTCTTTCTTCCCTTGCTTTTTGAGCACAGAGCTCTGTTCTGAGCAGGTAAGAACTAGGGTGCGAACAAGAATTAGGAAGTGGTCTTCCGCTACCTCCCAGTCTAACTTAGGAATTGAGGTGTCAACCAAAGGAAATATAACTGCTTTGTTGTTGTTCTCTACTTGACCGAACCAATCTCCTGTGGGTGTAGAGCTGTGTTCTTCTACTTTTTTTAATTCGGTGTTTTGCCGGGTAGATCTCTGCTCTTCCTCCGTTGAATGTTCTAAGTTAAAGTCCTTTCTCTATTTTGTAGCATGGACTTTTTTTTTAAAGACTTATTTTATTTATTTGAAAGGCAGAACAACACACACACACAAACACACACACACACACACAGAGAGAGAGAGAGAGAGAGAGAATCTTGCATCCTCTGGTTCATTCCCTAAATGACTGCAGCAGCCAGGGTTGGGCCAGGCTGAAGCCAGGAACCAGGAGCTTCATCTTCATCTTCTAAGTGGGCGGCAGGGCCCAAGTCCTTGAGCCGTCTTCTGCTGCTTTCCGAAGTGCATTAGGAGGAAACTGGATTGGACACAGAGCATCCAGGAGTCGAACATGTGATTTGATACGTGATGCCAGCTTAACCTTCTGTGCCACAACGCTGGCCCCTGGCACAGTCTTTTATTTGGAGATGGATGGGACCTAGGAGATCCTGTTAGTAATTGCCTGGAATGAGTTTGTCCTCCCTGCTGCTCTTGTTCTTCCTTTTGAGCTCTTTCCCTCTCTCCTGTAATATCTATATATTAATCACCCACTGTGTTCCGGCGTAAAGAGTGTGGAACGGCAATCAGGTGCTCAATGTGCGATCATGTCTGGGGGGGATTTACCGTTTCTATTTAGCCCATTTGCTCTGCAGTAGGTTTGCAAAGCAGTTCTTGCCAAGGTCCCCCTCTCCCAATGAATTTCAAAGAGCTTTTAAAATAGGAACCTCACTAATTAACTCAAGTTAGGAAATAAATTAATGGAGTGAAGAGGAAGAAATCGTGGTCTGCATCCATCAGATTAATACAATGCAATTCACTTTGTGGGTTTCATAAAGCTTGCGCTTTGGGGCATTTTTAACCCAGAACAAATGAACATATAAATTGTTTACAAATCGCTGAATTTAATATAGTGATTTAACTGTCTTTTTAGTATTTCGTTTAACAGATGGATCAAATTAAAACAAATATTTGCTCATTTCAAACATATTTTGAATTTAATGTGAAATGTAAATGACGACAGAGCACAAGATGTCTTTGGAGCTCTTGGGGCAATAAAAAAACAATTAAGGATATCTCCCCCCTCATGGATAAAAATGCTAACTTCTGCATAACAGAAATAAAATCCATAAATCTACCCAAGATAAGGAAGCATATGTAGAAAATATTAATTTTCCTTTCTGCATCCTTCACTGTTGAGCCTCAGTGTAGCTGAGGTGCTGGGCTGGGGAATAATGAAAATAAATTGGGAACTTGGGAGAGAAAGAGATCCTAGGATGTGTACCAGCTCTCAGGTAATTTGCAGGAGAAACAATAATAATGCAAAAGTGTGTGTTCCTGGAAACATGTGTGCCTCTTGCTGTCCCTTTTTGGCGCTATGAGAAGTTACCACCACACTTGTTACCTGGACAAGGCTATGGCTATCAAGTCCACATCAGAACAGTGGTTGTGGCTCTGGATTGCTGTCTGTTTTGGATAAAAACCCATGGTGTTTTTCGCTTCTTGTCCATTGCATGTTGAAGGTGTGCAAAACGAGCTTTACTTTGGAGCAAGGCTTTCCCAGACTTTCCTTCTTGTTCTGGTCAGCTTTTTGTCACTATAACGGGATACCTGATCAGGCTAACTTTACAAAGAAAAGAGGCTCACAGTTTGGGAGCTTCAAGGACATGACTAACATTAGCTCAGTTCTGGTAAGTGCTCCCTCGCTCTGTCACATCATGGTAGGGTTATTAGATGGGGCCTTCGCTCAGATACCCTGTTAGTTATAAAGACACTGACCTTTTGATAAAGAGAGCGCTTATTTTTACTACAGGTCTGGTGGAGGAAGGAGCAGGTCGTGTTGAGGTCCAAATCAATCTCTCCCTCTGGAGGGAGGCCTGAGGATCTCTGGAATCAGGGTTATTGGGGCAGAACTGGGTGAAGCCAAGCAACAGAACACGACAGGTGCAGAGGAAATGGGTTGGGAAAGTCCTCTGAGCACACACCTTGACAAATCATGTCTTCACATACATCATATGCTTAAAGACGGCATGTCATCAGAGGTGTGTCATTTAGCATTATAATGAACCATAAAGCAATTCTCTGTGTAGGCTCCAGTTACAGTGCTGGCTGCTGCTGGTTCTGCCTACTTTTTTCAGGGACTCTGGAAATTCAGCTCAACAGATTTTTTGGCTGAAAGAAACTGTTATGGGATTGCATGTTATGCCACAGAAATGTGAAGAACTATTATGGGCTGTTAGTATGGTAGACAGCCCCAGGAAGCCTGCTGTTATGCAAGAGAAGGGGGATCCTTTGCTGTGCATAGTTTTGGTGGGAGTCAGTGGTGGGAGCATACTGGATAACAGTGATTTCTTCACAATGCAGGAATCCAGACAGCAACTCAGGGGACAGGTTCAGGCTTTAGTAACAACTTGCTCTTGCAAGAATGCCAGAGTCCCACAAGAGCCCCCTTAATCCTTACTGAGAGCACATCCTCAATGACATAAGGAAAAGTTTATCACTTCTTAATATTGCCTCTTAAAAATTTCATCACTTCTCAGTATTGCCATTCTAGGGACCACGTCTCCAACACATGAGCCCTTAGGGGACAAATCATATCCAAACTGTAGTTCATCTCAGTATTCTAAACTCTGCTTTGCAGTTATTTCAATGTATACAGCCTCCAGGTCCACAGACCCCATTTTTGTGTCTATTGCATATGTGGCTTGCTGTCAAATGTCACCCATCAAAGTGGAACAACAAAGTAATTGAAAAGAAATACAGTTTGAATTTGTACCTTTCAAGAGTGTGAGATGATTGGGACTTGGGTATAGCTATGTCCCAGAGATCTGTCTTTAGGGCAGTGATTGATTTTTGGCTATAGTTACAAAAAACTGATTTTATAGGTAATCATGAAGTGGCAATATGAAAGAAAACTGTACAAGATTCAGAACTCTCTAATGATTACACCCTTTTGGAATCTGATTTGCTGTCTTGAGATAGTGAAAAGGGGAGGTGGGAGGAATTGCACATCAACTTGGATTGTGCATGGGA